AGTTATTCAGTATATTATTGGTCATACTACAGAGTGTAGGGCCGTGTGAGAATATCCACTGCCCCATATCGTACATAATATAATATGGTTACTTTTATATAGTAGTGTGACTATTTATCCATCTATCACAGCCTATAAAAATCCACTGCTGAACGTAAGCGTCTCTTAGATTGCCTCACAGGGAACATTTTGCCACAGTTGCCACGCTTGCCAGGCAGGTTGGCAACCGCAGTTTTTGTTTATTTTGAGCTATTATTAGGAAGATGCTGCTGCCCATCTTCTGTTTCAGATTCCCTCAGTCGCCTCTTATACCTACGGAATACTTTTAAACCTCCAACGAAAACAGAGTTGTGTTATATATTTGTAGTGTATATATGTGTGTCTGTCTCGTTGGTCTAGTGGTTGTAGTAGTACGACTGCTGATCATGAGGTCCTGGGTTCGAATCCCGTGTCGGGCCAAAACTAAAACTAATTATTGAGTTTTTCCGTCAAGAAATTCTCTATACTCGTAGTTGCCCGGAGTCAGGAAGTTGGCGGTGTCTCACTCCCGTGCCTCGGAAAGCACGTAAAGCCGTTGGTCCTGCGCCTGATCTCTCTCCGGTCGTGTCGATTTACCATCCCATCGGATTATGAGTGTGAGGGAATAGAGAGTGCACCTGTGCTTGCGCATACACTTGGGCACTATAATCCTGTCCTGCGCCGATGGCTAGCCTCCGCTGAGGCAGGCCGCCGTGGCCGAAATTCGGTCTGGAGGTTATCATAGCTCCTGAACAGATGAACCGATTTCGGTGAAGTTTTTTTCGTTTGAAAGGTATCTTATTAAAAGTGTTCTTAGTTATGTTTCAAGAAAAGGGCTACGGTGGCTATACGATTACAAAACCAGAGTACGAAACCTATCCAACTGCACAGTGGTGTAAGATAGGGTGACGTAATATCCCCGAAACTCTTCACCACTGCATAAGAAGTCGTTTTCAAGCTACTGGACCGGAAAGTATACAGTATTAACGTCAATGGCGAGTACATAACTCACCTTCGATTCGCCGACAATATAAGCTATTCGAGTGTTGCATTATATTTTTTAATGTACATTATAATAAATTGTAGTAACTGTACTAGACCGTGAAAAATAACATAACAAATGATACATAAATATTATTTTTTAGTTCACACGTTTCGTTACAGCACTCGAATTGAAACGACACTTTTAAAGTCGAGCTTACTGTGAATAAGACTATTTGTTATACAGTACAGATTATAAATAGTTCTTATTGAAAGTGATTTTTACTTTGACCCCCGATTCGAGACCTAACCTCTGTTATGAGAAGAGCCAGCAAGAAATCCAGCGGGCCTTGTTTCACAATTACATTATACAATGTTATTATAATTTATAGGTTATGCAATTATTTACAAAACTCATTTAAGAAACAGCTTGAAAGCTATCACTTCATTCCCAGGGGTTATGATCAAGCTTTATTTATAAAATCTTACATAATAAAAAATAAACTTTGTAATAGAGAGACCTTGCATAATTTCTTGGACTTTGTTGTCGCTAAACGTGCAGCTTGTGCGATAAATATATGTAAAAACATATAGAGCTAGCTCTGTGAATTCAATACAATAATGCATTATTTTTATACGTGGTAGAGCCATGATGCAGAGACATTATGGTTGCAGCACGAATGGGTCGGCTCGACCGGGGAAGGATCACCTTCTCACACAATACCAGCGCAAAATGGGAGCTTAATTCCGCTGTGCTTTCTATGATGAGTGTAGATAACCAGAGAACTTTCTGACTGGATACTAGGCATTTCTTTCAAGTCCTTAGGGGTCACAAAGCATCTGCATTTTAATTTTAAATCGAGGATAAATGTAAAAGTTTATAGTCCACGGTATTCATTTACCATCAGGTGGACTGTGTAGTCGTTTGTTATGCTTCTACAAAAAATCTGGGTTCTGATCGGGCTGCCGCGCCATTGCAGTACGCTTCAAATGTCTACAGATCTAGATAAGACAGCTTCGATGCTATATAAGACGAAAGCGAATAGTATTTACCTTTCGGTAGAGTCATGCTGCAGCTACATTACTAGTATAGTTGTAGCACGAATGGGTCAGCTCGACCGTGGAAGGACCCCGTACTCACAGAATACCAGCGTAAAATAGCAGCTTAATACTGCTGTGTTTCGTATGGTGAGTGTAGAGATCCGGAGACCCCTTTTACTAGAATCGAGGCATTCCATCTTGTTCCTTAGGGGTGACAACGCATTTGCATTTCGATCCTTAATGGAGGATAAATGTGAAAACAGCATCCACTTACCATCAGGTGGACCGTGTGCTCGTTTGTCACCCAATGCTGTAAAAAAATCGATGAATTTAGAATTTTAAATAGAAAAATAATGTCAGTCATTTTACATCTGATAAAAAGACTTGTGTATGCACAAGGAATCATTATGAATGTGACTCAATAATAATAATGTTCTCCAGACCGAATTTCGGTCACGGCGGTCAGCCTTAACGGAGACTAGCCATCGGCGCAGGACAGGATTATAGTACCCAAGTGTATGCGCAAGCACAGGTGCACTCTCTATTCCCTCACTCTCATAATTCGATGGGACAGTAAACCGACACGACCGGAGAGAGATCAGGCGCAGGACCAACGGCTTTACGTGCTTTCCGAGGCACGGGGGTGAGAAACCGTCAACTTCCTTACTCCGGGCAACTACTAAGAATTTCTTGACGGAAAAACTCAATAACGAATTTTGGTCCGATCTGGGATTCGAACCCAGGACCTCATGATCAGCAGTCGCACTACTATAACCACTAGACCAACGAGGCAGTCCATGACTCAATATTATAACAATCAATTACGGCCTATAAAAGTCTACCGCTGAACCTCCCCAATAAATTGGCTGCTAGATTTTTCCAGAGTTGCCATTCTTGGTATACTGGTTGGCAACCGCAAGTTTTTTTTACTATTTTGAGTTGTTATCAGGCAGATGCTGCTACCCAGTACCTGTTTCAATTTCCTTCTGTCGCCTATTGCGACACTCACGAGAGGATATGTGGTAGTTTATTTTCTTACACCGCTACAGTGATTTTAAAACCTTTTATGTTCTCTCTCTCTTATATGAATATGTATTTGAAAAAAAGGCTATTTGGTAAGACATGCAGGAAGTCGATGGATGCAGGTGGCTCAAGACCGTGCTTTGTGGCACTCCTTGGGGGAGGCCTATGTTCAGCAGTGGACTTATGTAAAGGGCTATATATGATATATATATATATATATATATATATATATATATATATATATATATACTATTATACCTACTACAAAATCAAGAACTGAATGCAGGCAGGCACGAAATAAAAATTAAGCAATTTGAGGGTGACGGCGTTATAATTTTATCCAATAAACGGACCTGTACACACTACACAGAATTCCCCCATCCCTCGCAAAGAAAGATCGATCGATAACGTAATTTGAATTTGGATAGCGTGTTGAGAATGTGCTCCTTAAAATGTTAAAATACTGTATATACACAACTAAGTTTAAAAATAGTGAATGGGAAAAAGTATGCGCTTTCACAATTTCCCAACGAAAAATAGTAAATAAATACATAAAAAACATTTATTCATTAATTATTTTATTGTATATAAAAAAAAAAATATATATATATATATATATATATATATGTATATATATATATATATATATATATATATATATATATATATATTAATATAAAAAGTATTTATTGCCTCAAAATATGTTAAAATTTAAATAGACAGCTTAACTAAACTAATTGTTACAAAACGGCATTAACTTTTTAAACTTGCATTAGTTTATGAAATTAAAATTAAAAATATACTAGCGACACGTGTACTTTTTAGTAACAAACACCTATGGAGTGTAGAGCTAAGGAAAACAGTGTCTGTGTATTAAAAAGTGTCCGTAGGAAAGCGGTAAATGGGTTGGCGCCACCGTAGCTAGAGGATAAATTTTAAAGAACTTTTTATAAGTTTTTATTGCACATACATTCACCATAATTCTTTTTTATAATAACTGTTTTATTGTTTTCAATATTTTTATTTTTTAAAAAGCACTCAACGCGTTTCACAGTGACTTTCCTTGGTTATATTTATTAAACTATTCTAGGGAACGTGAGTAGTTGAGGTTTTAAATACTGGCGTTTCATCAACTGCTCTAGTCACCACAAATATTAAATTCCTCAACTCGGCACGACAATTGCTAAGTTCATTTCATACCCTCTAGCTATTCTAGCCCTGTTGTGGAGAGTTTTTGAACTGTTATTTACTGCTTACAGATGGACACTTTTTCAAATATTCTCCATGTGAGACGGTTCTCCTTACCTCTACACTCCATGCAAAGACCATTTATTTTTTCAATTTTCCAATTCGTAAAAAAAAAAACTCCAATATTTTCACATACAAGTGGTAAAATTAAAATTTTGTACAACTGACGTCAATATAAATAAAATGACAATATCATCAATGTAGTCGAAGTCAATTAAATGTACTTTATTAAGGAGTAAGTTCTTGATCGTAATACTAGTAAGATCTTGATCAAATTTATATGGGACTACATGAGAAGCACCAGCTTTGAAATAAAAAAAATATCATCAAAATCGGTTTATCCAGAACAAAGTTCTGAGGTAATTAATACACGTAAAAAATACAGTCGAATAAATACACTCGAATTGAGAACCTCCTCCTATTTTGAAATCGGTTGAAAATATAGCCTACACCACTCCTGGCTTTGCTCTTTATTTGTTTGTCAAGTTTCATTATAATCGTTTCAGCAATTCCGGAAGTTACAGAAATACGGAAATAGACAGATATCAAAAAATTTAAAAAAATAGTTATTATTGTTTTAATGACGTTCAAATAATCCCGTCAACTCAATAATTATAGATAGTAATTTCGATATTATGGACAAGACGTCAATTTTATATACATATTGCAATTGTTGTTTTTTGTTTCAGCATGGAATCGGAGTGGAACTGATCCGAGCGCTGGACTGCAATCCACCAAACATCTCCAACGTATTCTGCGAATGCGACTCAAGGGATGATGTAGTAAGTACATTACTACTTAATTCACTTACTTAATTCCGCTGCAAGCATAGAACAACACGCGCCGGTGTAATGTAACGGAGGGAAGTAGCCATAGCGTTTTTCCCCGATACAGAACTGTCTGTTATTTTTGCGCGGGGAAATCAGCGCACACAAAAAAAATAGTATGTCACTACGAAACTCACACATAACAACAACAATAAGAACAATAAACTTAAAATTACACACACAGTGCCGCTCGGTGATAGCGATAACTCGGATAGAAAATCGGATCAATCGCTCGACTGATCTGCATATTGTATAAGAGTGGGCCCGTGTTGGTCAACGAATCCGAAACTACAAGACTGTTATTATAGTAATTTTATGTGATTAAAAATTATTTTTTGTATTTTTGACCGAAAAACCCGAACAATGCGGCATTTTTGTAGGTCGTCGATTCAGCCGCGCAACTAGATTTAGTCTAGTGAGCAGTGCGGCTGCAACTAGTCTTAATGTTCGCATAGGACCACGTGGACTTATATTTTGACATTAGGGAACGTCAACGTATGGCTACCCTTCGACCCGCCGGTGGCCCGTGTTACTCTATGGTTCCAAGAAAGCATCACTTAATAGATGCATTGTTAAAGCGATTGTCCGAAAAAAAAAGTGATTTGTACACGGTAGAGTCACACTGCAATTATATTATGCTCGAATGGGTCAGCTCGACCGGGGAAGGACCACGCTCTCACAGAATACTAGCATGAAAGAGCAGTTGAATACTGCTGTGTTACGTATGGTGAGTGTAGAAAACCGGAGACCCTTATTACTGGCAATGACGCTTTCCATCTTAGTTTCATGGTGACAACCATCTGAAATACGTTACCTGTACATACATAAATTGCATAAGGATAAACATTCAGACCCGGAACAATTACTTGTAGGCCATACAAATACTTGTTTCGTGTGGGATTCGAACCCGCGGCCCTCAGCGCCGTAAGTCATTGCTGTGCCACTGTGTCCTGGAGCCGTCTATTGATTCTTAAATGAAGATAGATATTGGTGTCTACAGGCCACAGCGTCCACTTACCATCATGTGGGCTGTATGCTCGTTGCTCTTCTTCGCATTTTTTCAAACCAATCTAAAAAAAAAAACATTATTTTAATCTGTAAACGCATTCAGAATGGAATGCGTCTGTCAACATCCTGCATGTAACGCAATTGAGTGTTCCGTCGAGAGGGCAATAGCTTGACCCGATGTCCCGGCACATATACCCACTTTCAATTCGTAATTGTGTAAGTTGTGAGTGCTACAATAATTAATAGAATCAGGCGTTACTTATGTTGTAAAACGGGGATACCCGCAGGGGAACCAGAGTAACCGACATACACTCACCGGCACGGAAACTTGGCCAAGCGGTTATCTCGCGATAGCAAAAGCTTTAAGTGTTTCTGATGAATGTTTGTTATGCAAGTATGTCAAAAAATGTTTACCCTCAAGTTCAAGAGGGTAATTCATTATGTTTAAGTGCACCATGACGAATTCTTTAATTTTTAGTTGAATCGGGTCATTTGAGCGACTAAGTTCACATTTTAAATTTGTGTGTTGTGAAAAGTTTACTGGAAGGTTATTCAATTATTGTGATCTTGTGTCTTAATTAAATAACTAAAGGTGCTTTAAAGCCAATAAAAATGCCATTAACACCAGCACAAGTTGCACAAGCAGTAGCATTAATTGACCAAGGGCTGACACAGCGTGAAGTTGCTATTGTGCTTAACGTACCACGGTCCTCAATGCAGTATTCACTGAAACGATACCAGGAGACAGGCCGCTACACCCGCAGGCCAGGCAGTGGGGGCGTAAGGTGCACATCGGCCCGGGACGATCGTTTTATTGTTATGGAGATTTTGAGAAACCGCTACCTGACCGCTGTTGAGATACGCCAGCGGCTCCAAATCGCAAGAGGCGTTAATGTTAGTGAGCGTACGGTGAGAAGACGAATGGAGGAAGTGAATTTAAAAGCTTGTAGACCAGCACGAGGTCCAGAACTTCTCAGACAGCACCGAGTAGCCCGACTTCAGTTCGCAAGAGAACATGTCAATTGGACCCACGAGCAATGGGCTAGAGTGTTGTTCACAGATGAGTGTCGAATAGCTTTACGTGCTCCAGACGGTCGAGAACGAGTGTGGAGAAAAAGAGGAGAGAGGTTTCTACCCATTACCACCACCCAAACTGTGAGTTTCCATGGAGGCTCAATAATGGTATGGGGAGGTGTAAGTTCCGTGGCACGTACAGAGTTGGTCATCGTCGATAATCGGCTTACAGCTACTTGATACATCGAGGAAGTTCTTCAGGAGCATGTGATGCCTTATTCGGGATTCATTGGACATGACCAATTCCTCCTCATGCACGATAATGCACGCCCGCACGTCGCACATTGTGTAGAGGAATATCTGGAAGAGGTTGGAATACAAAAATTACAGTGGCCAGCTCGTAGCCCGGACTTAAATCCAATTGAGCATGTATGGGGTATGCTCAAAAGAAAGATAAAGTCCAGCTCCAAACCGCCACAAACTCTAAATGAGCTCCGAAATGCAGCGCTGGCCGCTTGGGACAGCATACCGCAAGTTGATGTCAGAAACATCATTCAAAGCATGCCAGATCGAATGCAAGCGGTTATCAGGGCTAGAGGAGGAAACACCCGATATTAAAACTGATAGACAATAAAGAAACAGACTTAATTTTTAACTTTGTAGTGTTTTTAAAGTGTCAATGGAAAGATGTTAATTTTAGTGAAAACATGTTATCTTGAAAAGAAAAATTTCGGTGAAGTAAACATTAAATTTCTATGTTCTAAAACCATTAGAGACACTTATTGAATGCATCTACCCTTAATTTACTGTTAAAAAAAACGTTTCAGTGCAAATAATCAGCAAATTCACGAGTGGCCAAGTTTCCGTGCCGGTGAGTGTATTCCAACGGATTAGTAAGCTGAAGTGGCAATGGGTCGGCCACATAAACCATATAACTACGAGTAAAGAAGCTCGAAGAACCGACAACTGCAGTAGGAAAGGTTCTCGAATAGCAGCCTCGAACCGGCGAAGTGTAGGGTGGCCCCCCAATGGATAGAGTGCTTCAAAAAATTGTTTTACCAAGTCGTTAATCCTTCGTCGTTCGTCATCGTCGTTCAACCTTAATAACAACATGTACTCCTTGGAGGAGGCCTATGCTCAGCAGTTATTATGAATTGCTGTAATGTTGATCAAGAAAGATGCTGTAATGAGTTAATGTCTTAAATAGGTTAGATAGTACCTGTCATCCTCCCCCCTCCCCTTAATTGCGTGCACTATTCCCGTCATCATTTATCCCAGCATCACTTCTCCCAACACTATTACACTAGGATAGACACACCACCGTCGCGTCGATAATACGACACGTGCTTCGCATTTAAGGCGACACCGTGAAAAAATGCACCTCCTTTCATCGAATAGTATAAAGACTATGACACCACTAAGGAAAGTGAAATTTTGATATAGGTAAATTCATGTCTTTATCTTGAATTTGATTGTTCAAAAAACACGATTGTATAATTTTGACTCGATCATAATTATTTGCGAAAACACCTCCAAAAAATCACTATAGTTGAAATTACAACGAAATTACTTAATCTATATGCTTGGAAATACCTCAAATATATTCATAACATCAATATTCATAATTTACTTGCTCATTATTTTGATTACTTAAATCAATAATTTTATAAAAAATATTTTAAGATTCTGACAATTTCTAAGCGGTTTTATTCGTCGCGGGCGCTACGCAACTTTAGACCTTATGACGGCGTTTTTTCAAGTTTTTATAGAAATTATGTATTCACTCGGATCAGTACGGCGATTGCCTTTTCGATGTATCGTCTTAAAGAATCCCTAGACGAAGTAGACTGCGATGGCTGACCACTAATTAAAAGCCTTATTTCATATGATCATCCGAAGCTCAGCTCCTTCACTCATTACAGCATATTAAAAAACCACTGTTTAATAGGCCGAGCCCATGGTTTGCCTCATATATGGGGACATTATTTTGAATATTAGATCCTCTTTTATATAGTATTTGGTGACAAACGAGCACACAGGCCACATGATGGTAAGTGGATGCTGTGGGCCATAGACATCTACATTTATCTACATTTAAGAATCAAAACACATATGCGCTGTCACCCCCGAGGACTAAGATAGAGTCTCCGGTTCTCTACACTCGCCATACGAAACACAGCAGCATTAAGCTGCTATTTTACGCTGGAATTCTGTGAGGGCGTGGTCTTACCCTTGTTGAGCAGACCCATTCGTGCTACAATCATAATGTAGCTGCAGCGTGACTCTACCACGTAAGGTGAAACCTTGTTTCATAGACCTAGATCTACAATAAAGAAACAATGAGAAGCATGGTCACAACTAAACAGTGATGAAATATCCCGTTGTGTTACGCTGGAGCCACGGTAATTTTATCTATACAGTATTCCAACTTCATACAAACGGACGAAGCGAGAGCTATGCCTACGCGCCTCGATCTCGGCATGCGCTCGGCATGCAGACAGTCGAGACTGTGCCGCACTGATGATTTTGTGAAATATATAAAAAATGGAGGAAATAAATAATAGAATAGAAATAAAGAAATAATAAATGCGAACTTCATTTAAAACCAAACATATAAATTATAAAATATCTTTTACTTGGTTATAGATACCTCTTTATCCAAGTAAAAGATATTACTTTTCTCCACCTTGTCCATGTTTCCCAAAATAATTTTTAATTAAGCTTTATATTATAATGCGGATTTTTTATACTTAAAAATTTAATAATAAAGTAATTCGTACGTCTCAGCCGAGGCGCAAATATTTTTCGGTCGCAAATTCATAAGACCGATTTGTTATTCAAACATAAACATGGTTTTTTTATTAAATCTACCAATCAAAAAACGATACGCATTTTTATTGAACACTTCCTATTGAATTTTCAAAGTACCTATTATATTTGATTATATAAAAAAAGTATATTTACAATCATAAAACTAAATGGAAACACAAAGTAGGCAAATGTAATGCTGAAGGCAGGCAGCCCTATTGCATGTTTACGTACCGCGCTGCTGTAGGCATTTATTTCAAAGATACGGCCGAGTTACAATACTGTATAGATAATATTACCGTGCTGGAGCTATATTACGGCCGCAGCGCAATTAGATGTAATTTGCCGACAAATAGCAGTGTTTGCGCTTCTGTGTGTCTGAAGCACAGATTACCCCCTGTCTGAAGGGTAAAGAGAGCGTACGCCTACGAGATGCGTAACACCTCTGGGTGTTAACGCATCTCTAGGCTTCTTTGTTTGAAATTCGCTGCAAGTGGCCTCATCCTGCTCCGGTCGAGCCGACCCATTAGTGCTTCAACTATAATATAGCTGAATCGTGACTCTACCACGTAAAGTATCTATCTAGTCTATTGTCTATACATTAAAAAAATTACTCTTCCATTCATTCATGAATGGAAGAGTCGGAAAGGGACGTCTTAAGTGAAAGTTTGTCGACCAAATTGGCGATAGATTAATAAACCGGCCAAGAGCGTGTCGGGCCACGCTCAGTGTAGGGTTCCGTAGTTTCCCGTCCGTTACAACAAGTGTTCCCACTTATGAGTTTAAAGGTGGGTATCCATTATGTTCGCGCTCCAGCAGCGCTCCGCGCTCCTGCAACTGCTCCCGGTAGTGGGTACTATTGTTTCCATCCAAGTTCAAAATGATTTTCCTAGAAAGTCCTTATAAAGTTCTACTTTTCAGATTTTTTTTCATATTTTCTAAACTTATTGTTCAAAAGTTAGAGAGGGGGGGGACACATAGTTTTTTACTTTTGGAGCGATTATTTCCGAAATTATTGACATTATCAAAAATGATTTTAGTAAACCCCTATTCATTTTTAAATCCCTTTCCAACAATATATCACACGTTAGGGTTGAAATATAAAAAAAAATCACTTGCCACTTTACATATAGGGGGGCTACCCTAATAAAACATTTTTATTTTACCACTTTGTCGGCGTGATTGATACACATATTGGTACCAAATTTCAGCTTTCTAGTGCTAACGGTCACAGAGATTAAGCGAGGACGGACAGACGGACGGACAGACATGGCGAAACTATAAGGGTTCCTAGTTGACTACGGAACCCTAAAAATGGGCCAAATTAAGAGTACCCTTAACCGACGAGAGCATGTATGCGTAGGATGTGGAGGAGGCGAGAGAGGTATGTCAGGATCATGCTAAATGGAAGTCTATAGTCATTGCCTGCCCTCTGGGTGACAGGTGTAAGTGTTTATATTATGTATATGTTTAAAAAAATGAAGTTTCTTCCTATAATATTGAAATAACTAGCTTCTAGGGTTGTTTAGATGTTACTATGATGGTATGATGTAAACAAAAACAACACAAACAGCGGATATGCTTACGCATACATTTCCCCAACAAACGAGCACACAGGGCACCTGATGCTAAGTGGACGCTATGGCCCATAGACATTAACATTTATCCTCAATTAAGGATCAAAATGCAAATTCGTTTTCACACCTGAGGTCTCCGGTTCTCTATATTCACTATACGAAACACAGCAGCAATACGCTGCTATTTTGCGCTGGTATTCTGTTAGAGCATGGTCCTGCCCCGGTTGATCCGATCGATTCGTGCTACAACTATATTATAGCTGCAGCGTGGCACTACCACCTACGTTATATATTATACGTGGTAGAGCCACACTGCATGGCTCGGCTCTGGGCGGGAAAGGTGGACTTTCAGATCGAGCTATTACAGAATACCAGTGTAAAATAGCAGCGCAATGTTGCCATGTTTCAGGTGGTGCACCTTCGGCACCCTTTAACGAGGCATTCCATCTCAGTTCTCGGGGGTGTCAACGTATCTATAATTCGATTTATAATCGAGGTTGGACGTAGGTGTCTATGGATCACAATATTCACTTACCATCAGATGGATCTCTGTGCTCGTTTGTCACGCTTATCCTATAAAAAAACGTCCTACACTGTCCTTGCTAGTACAAACCTTTGGAAACATTCAAACTATAGAATTTTGTTTTGTTTTTTTAGACCATAACCTGTGACTGTGAGGCGACTCCAGCGTTCCAGTTGAAGGCCTTCAGCCAGCGAGGGGAGAAGGTGGAGGTGTCGCACTACCGCGTCAATGTCAACAGGTGAGGAACTATAGAATATTACTGAACTATGTATCTATGTGATGGACTGTGTACTTGCTTGTCACCCTATTATAAAAAATTTGATTGATGAGTGAAGAGCCGAATAGTACAAAGCTGTTGTAGTGACGCTGCATCTCAGCACGAGCCTGTGAGGTTTGGATTGAAACGTTTGAATGGATTGTTCTGAAGTTAACGGTGATATTGATGTTTTGTACGATGTTTCAGATACCGCGCGCGTCTAAACGTGGTTTGTGTAACCGACAAGCTGACAGGCGAGTTAAAATGCGACGGCTGGCCCGAGGTCAAGGTCGCGTTGGCACCGGTTGGGCCCTTGAGGCCCAATACCACTGAAAGCAATCTGCAACAAATTGTCAGGTACTATTACGAGTAGCATAACTAAAAAAAAATAAAAAATCAAAGTTTAAACTAAAGCAATTACCTTGACCTTGTCTATATTACCATTTTTTAACTCGTTTTTTTGTTTGTCCCGCATAAATTGATTTTAGGGTCCACCCACACGTACCACAACCACAACACGTGGGCGGGCGCATTTTTATTGGAAATGAATAGTACAATTTACATGTACCAAATTTTGCCGTCATTATCGACTGCGTGATTGATACCGACCACAACGTAACCACGATGCCACCACTACGAAACCACACGGAACTAGTGGCCGGCCACATCGCAATGACAACATTGCGTCGACGCCACGACTAGCGTTGCAACGCAACCACAACGCAACTGCAAAAAGCTGCAGTGACACTATTCACACGTGACCACATTTTGCCGCTGCCGTAGGAATGCCAGATCGAAAGACTAAAATTTCTGGAGAAAATTTGAAAACGTCGGAATTTTGGGGTTGTTGTCGGGAGAAATAAATATTAAAAATTAAAATGTTAATTAAAAAGTTTATTTTTAAAATGGATAGGCTACAAAAAGACTTAACACTGTTGAAACATAATTATTTTACGTACATTTATTAGGTTGCCACATGTATTTGGCATTGGACTTTACTGAGTCCACCCATTTCTTGAACCTTTAGAACCTTTCGAAGTATTCAGAAAATATTTAAAATTTAAACAATTTACTTCAAAGTACAGTCTAATTACTAACTCAACTTTTATTAAATCAAAGATAGCTGTGATGTCAAGAAAAGCTGTTTTGTTTCTGGAGATTTTGAGTTTTGTCGGGAGTCTGGAGATCATTTAAAATGTCGGGGAAATCCAAATGAATCCCAACCACCTGGCAACCCTACGCCGCAATGTGTTGTGGTTGTGATGCCTGTGGGCTGACCCTTAAACTAACTTTACGATGAGCTAGAGAATTTAAACTTTGATAGCGCGGAGCTTAATGAAAATGATAATCAATCTCAATTTCTTGTGTATCTATTTGTCTATTATAGAATAATTTTTATTCAATGAAAATTATAAAAGAATACTAATTGAAAGTCATTTATGTTTTTACCAATGGTTCGGAAAAAAACCTCTGTCCTAGTACCTGTAAGAAACCCAGCGGCAATGTTTTTTTCAAACGTTAATTTACAATTTGATATGATATACAATTACATGATAAGTGGTAAAATTAAAAGTTTTATTTAACTGACCTAAGTATAAATAAAACGAGAACAATTAAATACGCATTTTAAGTTAACTCAAAACTACTGGCTAAGATGTTGAACAAATTTATATGGTACCACATGAGAAGCACCAGCTTTCAAATAAAAAAAGAATTATCAAAATCGGTTCACCTCAAAAAAAGTTCTGATGTAACAAAAAAAATACATATGCATTGAGAACCTCCTTTTTTGTAGACGGTTGTAAAGATTCAGAAACAGCAAGGCATCGACAATGCTGTATTCTTTATTGTTAAGTAATGATTTCAAATAGATTTTGATACGTAAAAATGGTAGATATGAACTATTAGTGGAAATGATAAATCGAGTGCTTCTATGGTGATGTGAACCTCAAGATAAGGTGTTTGCTTCAACGCCTTGAGATATTATCATAGTCGACTATTTGCTTCCTCCAGCTCCTACTAAAATATCTAAAAATGTACAATATGTAGCGCATCAACATATTGTGAAGAAGTTTTGAAACAAATGAATTTAAATGATAATTTCTTATTACTTGACGCTGGTAAAACTACAACAGTGCGTGTCCATTACCACAGAAAAAAAATTAATATTAGTATGATGCCATCAAAAACATAACTTGTAAAAAAAGAATTCTCGTAACTGAGTTCTTCTACCGTATAAAGTTGTGAGATCCATGTAATACCAAGTCGGTTAATTTATTCAGTCCACTTAAGGGTCCTTCTGTCTTAAGTTATTACTTAATTAGCTGACCTAACATCTTATAGTCACTATATAAACATTAAAAATCTTTTATGTTTTAAATAAATAATTGATTTGGTCATCGTATGAAAACACAATGTATGTCACAAGTAGTACACATTGTTAAAATAGATTATTTAGTAAGAATTTGTTTAGTAAGGTAGAAGAACTGAGTTGCGAGACGTGTTTTTTTTACAATTTATGTTTTTGATGGCATCTCATTTATTTTTGTAGATGGTCCTACAGTCCTTCTTTTTTCCTTTCCGGTACCTTCTGCTTCTTGAATACCAACAACCTACCCATCTACACCTGTTATTCCATCATATTATCCATATTATACAGGTACACTGATTCATTCACTGCAAATGTAACTTTGTTTGGTTTGAAATTTGGTGAAATTATTATTTATGTCACCTTGAGTTCGACTGCGAACGAATTTTAATAAAATTCCACTCACGAAGGGGATTGAGGGGACGTTACATTGAAAGTAAAAAAAATAAATATTAATCATAGTTCAGGCACAGATTAGTAAATAGGTTCAGGCTACAATGAATAATCAAATTTTGGGTCCAGAAAAAAGCCTCAACCAAAATGCATCCCCTCCAGAAACTACAATAAATATATGTTGTAAATATTCATAAAAAAATTACCAATCATGAGTTTTAATAGCATGTATATGTTTATTCATGTCATATATTACTTAAAACTAATATTGCACAAAACAACTTATAAACTCTACAAAAAAAAAGTACCACTTTCTGCCAAACGCACCCAATCTGTACAATTTATTGTGTGTATTTTGGTGGGTTCTGGGTGGTTTAAAACTTCAAATGCACGCCGTAGGTGGCGCTGTTGTCGAGCTGCAGCAATCACCCGTGCGAAGCCGGGGCGTATCGCTAGTGTAATAAACTTAACGCACCATTGATCAAAGGTGAACACCACATCCTTAGCGCTTACAGCATTTTTTTTAAATAGTTGTTTATTCACCAGCGACATAGTGGTGAGCGCACTACGCAACACGCATTTCCAGTTCAATCTGGCCCCGTACCCGACGTGTCCAAGGTTGCGACGTCATGTTGCCGAGGTCTCACCAAGACTGCCGCTGCATTATGACTCTATGGTGAGTGGTGCTGATGAGGAATTTTCATTGTCGTGTAAACACTTTTGTGATTGTCTATCCATCCTTACGCATAGATTTCCACGCTGTCAGTTGTGACGTTTGGCATGCGGCCTGGCAACCGCAGTTTTATATTATTTTCATCTGTTATCAGAAAAAAGCTGCTGGCCATCTCCAGTTTCAGTTTCCCTCTGTCGCCTTTTACAATAGAATACTATAATACAGACATAATAGAACGAGGGAGTGGGCGGATCCCGTGTAGCCACTAAAATGCCACTAACACGTCAATTCACACGTATAAATGTCAACAACACGAGATGTGTTTTGACGTTACAATCGTTTCCAAATTTCGCATGCAAATTATTTAGAAAATGCCGAATTGCACGCTATTTACAAATAAATATGTATTAAAATCAGTCTGACAATACAGCGAATCGGGTTTGTAGTAGTGAACTGGAGATACGACGTAATTGCTTGTATGTGTGCCGGCGACGCCGAATCTCGTAAAAAATCAAGTTGACAGCCATTTTATTGTGTATTATAGTATTCTATGCCTCTTACGACACCCGCGGGCTGGTATAAGCAAGTACTGCCCCATATATATATATATATATATATATATATATATATATATATATATATATATATATATATATAAATTACGTGTCACGTTGTTTGTCCGCGATGGATTCCTATTTAATCAAATTTGCACTCCGTGTGCAGTTAGGTCCAACTTGAAATCACGTTACTTTGCATCCATTAAATAAAAAATAAAAATATAAATTTCTTTGCAAAAGTTGTAAAGAAATTTATATTTTTATTTTTTACCAACTTGAAAAAAGAAATTACCGAGGAAATAAGTGACTACATTATATATACAACACGTAACATAATTTAACGCGCTTTGAGAAAGTTGTTCAGAATCGTTTACTGAATCGATTAATATCATTTTTAATATAGGTAATTTTTTATCCCAAAAATAATTAAATCTACGTAAATTATAGTCCCTAAATGTGTACAGTCAAAACAAACTGAAATGGACCGTAACTTAAGGCAATAAGACTTTTAAGATTGCAGTTTTATTTGTGTTATTATAATTCAATAAAAATAAAGAAAAATGAACTTTATTTCAAGCACGTTAAAGTCTACGTTCGTGGATTTGTACTGTGACCACAACATTCTTCCGGAATTAGTATAACTAATTTGATAAATAATTAGTGTATAAAAATGTTTAACTAAAATTCAATATACTAATTGGGGTGTCTCGAGCGTGTGCATTAATTAAGTTACATATTGTATGTATATAATATATATATATATATATATATATATATATATAATGTAGTCACTTATTTCCTCGGTAAATTTCTTAATTGGCAGTAGTAACCTCCCCACCAGCGACTCTGTCAACTGAACAGTAAAGTTCGTAGCACTAAAATGACATTTAGGTGGACTATGTGCTAGTTAATCCTTCTGGTAAGAAAGTAACCAATGATAAAAGTTAACTTTTAATAAGTAAAAGTCGACTTCAAATAATTAAAAGTAATTATATTACACATTCTGAAATCGGTGCTAATATCTAAATTATGCACTATGCATAGAAGAATTGGAGCTCCTTTACAATGTTCAGAAAATTATTTTACGTGGACTTCAAAAAGTCGACTGTTTTTTTTTTGCGTATGTTATACGATATTTTTGGCTAGTTGTAAACTGATTTTGATAAATCCTTTTTGTAATATTTTTGAAGTGAAACTTCTTTATCGACATGGTGGAGAAATTTAGTACGGTAATAAAGAAAAAATGACGTTTTCTTGTAACGTTTTCCGCCAGGTCTACATGAGTAATAAAATAAAAGAATAATGCATTGAAGTACTATATAAGATGGAAAAAATTGTCTTCGGATGAAATGGAGGCGACGTAGTCATGCTACAACCATAATATAGTTGTGTTTTGTATGGTGAGTGTAGAGACCCGGAGCCCCCTTTTTTACTGGAAACGAGACATTCCATCTTAGTCCTCAGGGATGACAACGCACCTTCATTTTGAATCTTAATCGAGAATAAATTTAAATGCCTCTATGGGCCACAGCTTTTACTTACCATCAGATGGACTGTATGCTGGTTTGTCACCCACCTCATCACCTAAAAAAATCCTTGGGAGTGTAAATTTTTCTCCAAATTTGTACGAAGTCGGTATATAACCCCTGAAGTATAACATACTTTAAAGAAAACATACAAACGAATGGTTAACTTAATCCTTGTTTTAAATCGGTTGAAAACAAAAACCTATTTGTAAAAAAAAACTTCTTATTCCACAGTTACAACAAGACAGACATATGTACACGTCCACTCCGAACTCAACTGCAAATAACATGGGGCATTTGGGGGACAAAAGGCTGCTGGTTAAAGTTGTGGGCGCTAAGGACTTGGGAGGTAAGAACTAAAGAGGTTTCAAAATGCTCGCACTGATGCCTTGATGTGACTTTAAATTAATGACATATTGCAGGTCTTGTGTCTATTTTTTATAGAGAGATATAGATAATTTTTTATTCAATATAGCTTACTTGTTATTCTTATTGAAAGTAATGTTTACTTTTACCATTAGTTCGAAAAAAAACCTCTGCCCTGAGAAGAAGTATAATATACAATAAGAAAGCTCCTAGAAACTACTTATGCCTGCTACACACGTAACAATATATCGTAACGATTAATACGTGTAAACCGAATTCCGCAGATTTGTCGATTGTGTGTATGACAACACGTTGCAAATTATCGTTCATCGACGACAGTTGAATTTCTATTAGATAAATCGTTGTGTATTGCGTTTGCATAGTTTTATCGTCGCATAATTGTTTTTTTCATTACTCCTGTTTCTTTATTAGTGGAGTAACTTTACCCGCAGATTTAAGGATGCCTCCTCGTTCACCCTTAAATAATAATGCCAATCTCACGAAGCGAATTTCAACTTATTTAATAAGTGTTTATGAGAAAATAACTTCCTTTTCCTGAGCCAGTCTATAAAGACTCCCACACACACCGCGACTTCTTCTTTAATTATATAATCAGGCCCAATTACGCGAGCTTCTGCGGAGTCGATATCGGTAGCGTGTGGTGACACTAAGCGTTCGTTTTAACTTCACAGTTTGAAATCGCTACGATACATCGTTACGTGTGTAGCAGGCATTACAAAAAATATTTAAGAAACAGCTTGGAAGCAAACCGCTCTGCGCTGGGTGCGGTCAAGTGGAAGGAGCTGGCACTGGGTTTCCCCGGCCCAGAGATGAGAACAGTATTCCATGTGAGGCCGAAATTGCGCTTTGTAAAGTTGCAAGCGATGTGCCGGCATGAAACACTGTCTCGCTCTGCTGTGCCTTGTAACTGAGGAGATACGAAAAAGAGGTTATTTTTCGCGAGAAATGCGCAAACTTGTCGTCTGGGTACGTCCGCGTGTGTATCGGCTACCTGCTGATAGTTATCGTAAACATGTACCAATATTCTAATGTCGAATACCTAGCTTCCTAGCAATGGTGAGATTTTGTGTCTTGTCTGGTGAAAACTTAGACAGTGCGACGAGTTGATATTTACCCATGTTGGAATTCACAACGTGCATAGTGCGCACTTGTGGAGTTTACAAAATCCACACAAAATCAAAGAACATGCTCATCAAGTTCGTTTTAGTGTTAACATTTGGGCGGAACATCATTAATATTCCTTACTTATTTTTTTTTTAGGAAAATCAGGTTGTGTGGCACCATACTGCGTGGTCGAAATGGACGAACCTCCACAGAAGAATCAGACCGCGTTCAAAAAGGATACCACGTCGCCCCAGTGGGAGGAGCACTTCCTTTTGTAAGTTATCTCATTCCTTCATTCAATTGTAGCGGCGCTTACGTCACACACAGCGTCAACGAGGTCTAAATCGCGCTATCGAAGTTTTCGAACAACTTGACATATATAGAATAGAATAAGAATAGCTCCGTACTGTTACATGGAGCGTTGGCCACTCTCCGGACTGAAAACCTTGCCCGGTAAGGGTACTGCCTGGTGCATGTTCCCTTCCACGACCAAACAATTATTTTAATTGTCATTAATTGACCGGAAGCTTACTTTCCATCAACAAATATGACGATTAAGTAATAATAATAACATCCCTAAGACAGAATTTCGGTCACGGCGGCTAGTCTCCGTTGATCATCTGCGAAAGGAAGGATTATAGTGCAAGGGTGTATGTGCAATTACAGATTCACTCTCTAATCCCTCACTCTCAGGACCAACGGCTTTACTTGCCTGGGAAAGACGATCATTAGGATAGTGGTCAGCTTACTATTTAAATCACAAGTCCTGCATTTGATTCACAGCCGAAGTCAACATTAACGATTTTAATATTAATAAGCTAAGATGCGTGTAAAAATTAAAATGGTGTGCGTATTATTTCAAAAGCCTCTCACAACTGCGTACTCTATTACTCTAAAACCCAACACCCATTACACTAGGAAAAACCAAAGACTTCTATCTATAATAATAATGTACTAAGAATTTCTTGACGGAAAAACTCAATAACTGATATTTTTTGGTCGGACCTGGGATTCGAACCCAGGACCGCATTATTAGCAGTCGCACTACTAAAATCACTACGAGGCAGTCCTTCTATGTATACTACAAGACCAGCAATTCAGAACAAAAACCGTGTCACAGCAGTTATATTTTCATTTACGACAGCAAATGTTTTAGGTAAATAAGAAATAAAATTACATAACTATCTAAAATAAGTTTTAAATCAACTTGACAAAGTGCGTACATAAATAATAACAGTGTTTTCTTAGTCACATTAAACAAAATCAGTGTTAGATTGTGGAACACAACAACTTTTTACTATAATTCTTTTTTTTTTATAATTTTTTTACTGTATTTAAAATTTTTATTTTCAAAATCACTCTTAACGTCTTTCACGGTTTCTAGGTTATATTTATTAAATTATTTAAGATAATGTGAGTAATTGAGGTTTTAAATACTGCAATTTCATCAACTAATCTAGTCACCACAAATACTAAATTCCTCAACTCGGCACACTTCACTCCGTCGACAACTGCTAAGTTCATTTCATATCCTCTAGCTCCTCGAGCGCTGTTGTGGAGAGTTTTTGAACTGTTATTTACTGGTTTCAGATGGACACTTTTTCAATTATTCAGTGAGATGGTTCTCTTTACCTGTACACTCCATGCTAAGTGTGTAATGTATTGAGGCCGCAGAGTTCGGCTAATAGCACAAATAAGTCTTTGGAAAAAAGACACTACGACACGTGTTCCGCTACTAAACGAGACAACATTAAGAGAATTTAGACTCTGCAATGGCTCACTATAGTCAGTAGTTAGGGAGTCAATATTATCACTTTTCGCGGTGTGAATGTAATAAGTGTGGTTGTCTCATACTGTTACGAGCTTAAGGTTCGTGACAATAAAAACTGCCGATTGAATTACCAAAATTGACACTTTAATTACTGAACACCAATTAAAACTTAAAACACACCAGCAATTAATCACACTTAACACTTTAGTTCACCTTATTTCACTCCGAAGTCTTCGCTTGTGTCGTCAATTCAACACTCGCCGGTTGCGACCCTAAACGGCTTTATATAGGCCTTTTTAACCGAAACACCTAGATTATTCCAGCAAATACCGGTTCTGACCGACTAGGTGTAAAAAATTTGAGTGTGGAATTTTCTAGAAAGCTTAGTTCTTCTATTCGATAATAGATGACGCTAGTGCCATGTACCAGACATCAACCGTGGCGCACAACACTACGTATGTGTATACATCTGAATAGATGTATTATACTTATTGTATTGTATACATGACAATACAATAATATGACAACCGTGTAGTGACGGTGTTTTTACACCGCTATCCACAACCCCATAGCATCACGTGGGTGTTGTCAAAAGAGGCGACGAAGGGAAAATAAAACAGGAAATGTGCAGCTCAGCGTTCTTAATAACAACTAAAATGAAAATTTATAGCTGCCAATCCGTCTACCAAACGTGGCAACTATGGCAAATATATCCCTATCAGTTTGATATTGTATTAAGACTTTGATAGGTTGTAAGGGAGTACAGATGTACAGTATTGTATTGTATTTGTATTATATTGTATTGAATATTGCAGCGAGCTGTCCTCGCAGAGTGCGGAGCTCTTGTTCGAGGTATACGACCGCACTGTACCGCCGTCGCCGGGTAGCGTTACTTCAAGTCACAGGTTCGAATCTATTTCAATTATGTTCAATTTTTAAAAAAATTATAACATATTTGAAACTGTGTGACGTACATAGATAAAACATGACTAAAACTGGAGAGCTTACCATTTAATGACGAGTTGTGGTGCAGGTTTCTGGGTCTGGGTCTGGTGGGCATGGACGAGCTGACAACAGCGCCGTCGCAGCGCCAGCATATCGCGCTGCAGCCGCGACCCATGGAGCAGCACGACGTCAGCGGCACGCTCACCGTCGAGGTACGTGCACCCTCGTGTAGTGCGCGACTGTACCGGCACGCTCACCGTAGAGGTACGTGCACACTCGTGTAGTGCGCGACTGTACCGGCACGCTCACCGTAGAGGTACGTGCACCCTCGTGAAGTGCGTGACTGTACCGGCACGCTCACTGCAGAGGTACGTGCACCCGCGTGTAGTGCGCGACTGTACCGGCACGCTCACCGTAGAGGTACTTGCACCCGCGTGTAGTGTATGAAGCGTAGGCCTAGTTTTGTACTAGTAGGGGAATAAATTAAAATAAAATATTAAATCACTATAGAGCATTCAAATTGGCCCCTATTTCAGTGGTATTAATATTTTATTCCTACAAAAAAAATGCAACACTAATGACGGATAGATGTCGTTTTGACGTTTGCTTTCAACTGTACTGTTACGTACGATTATTGATCCATTTATTGATGTCTATTTGAATTCTGTAATGCTGTGTTGCCTTTACGACTAGACCAAAACCAAATCGCTAAAGAAATCCACTAGGAACACAATAAACGCATTCTCGAGTTCACAACTATAGGATCAAGTTCGAAAAAAAATATCATTGTATCTACCAGTGTAATCTGAAAAGTTTCCGACCTCAACATGAAGATGGCAGTACTCGTCAATAAAAGCTAAAGTATGTGCCAAATCGATTGAGAAAAACGGACAATGACCTGTCGGTTGCGACTTCGTTCCGGACACATTCCGTGTAACAAGTTTGCTTTCATGATGAAAAAGAAACAATCTCCTAATTGCGATACCTGCAAAACAATAGAAGATGTACAACACTTGCTCGCAGAATGTTCCAAAAATCATTATGAAAGGAAACTATTAGTTGCCAAAACTGATATTAAAATATGTAACCTAAGGGAATATCAAAGCATACTGTCTGAGCCATTGTCTAATACTGCTCGAATGGTATATAATTAGTTAATATTTTGTTGAAATTGTAGTATGTTATTTAGTTATAAGGTACAATGGGACTGACATTTTAAAAATAACGTAAGTCCCTAAATTAAAAAAAAGAATTTAAAAAAACCTTTCGGCCGTTTAATCAGGGGTTACAAACCTTCAATATATAGGCACATTTTATATGTAGTACTTTCTTAATTTATTATGATTTTTATTATGATTGATATAATATATATTTATTAACTATTATTAAAAAGTTATGTAAAAGATCGCTGTAGAAGAAAAATCATCTATTGTTATAAAGTACTTTATTTATTTAACAACAAGAAGCATCAATTTATAACACATATAAAGATTCAAATGATAACGACACCGAATAAGTACGTACTTATTCAAAAGATAAAACTTTATTTTCAATATTATATAAGAACTTTATTTTTATTCGGTGCAAATCATCACTCGTATCTTCACTTGATGTGTATTCAGATGAACTGTCTGTAACATTAATTATAAAGCGATCTGCAGTTTGGTCAATTGTATCATCCCTGCCACGCATTTTTTGTTCAACCTTAAGGACATGCTGAACACAGTTTTTCCATTTATCTGGCGTGATTTGAGCTAAACCATCTTTAAATAAATTCTTAACATCTTTTAACTTGAAAGTTGTATTTTTTCGTGCAACGTACCCTTTCACATCTGCCCACACAAGTTCAATGGGGTTAAGCTCACAGTGATAAGGAGGTAACCTTTCCGCTGTGATGCCTATCTCTTTTGCCATCTCGTTGGTGACGTAACTTCGATAGTTATCTTTAACTGCCTTTATTTTTTCCATTAAATGGGTCTTTGTGTCCGAGGGCACGTATGCGATCTGTTTGGATTCTAGCCATTCCTGCATATTTTGTTTCCGCCAAGACATTGTTGGGGATTTTTCTAAACGTCTGGAGTGGTAACTTGCGTTATCCATAACTATGACATTGCCGTTTAGCAGTTTTTCTATTACTTTTCTAAACCAGTCCTCGAATTGGAGAGCGTCCAGACTCTCATGGTAGTCACCAGTAGATGATGATTCAAATACCTCCAAAAAGCCATTTTCATTGCCAACGTGTACAAGTATTAATCGCTTTCCTTCACCCGAAGGGGCTTTCGCGCCAGTAGAGTAGCCTTCCAACCGTGCTTGAGGAGAAGATTCAATGGTGGTGTCTTCCCATACCAGTACCATAGTATGACCCGCGTTAATCCATGTTTCGTCAAGGTCAAAAATGTTACGTCCCTCGTTTCTTAATATTTGTATTTCTCCCAAATATCTGGTACGCCACAGAACTATCTCTGGGCGATCTATTAGACTACTTTTTCTGTTTCTCTTTATATATTTGAATTTTAAATGGCGCAACACGCGTCGCAGGGACGATTTGCTCAGGTTCGGCAACTGGTCATCTTGATTTATACTGAGCAAAATTTTGTCTAATGTCGGTAATTCTCCTGCAACAAAGAACTGATGCACTTTCGCTCTTATAGGAGCGAAAGTGCATCGGCTATAGCTGATTTATCAAAATCGTCCAACTTGTCAATTACAGACTTCTTTCTTTTATTAATTATTCTCTTTTCTGGTATTTTATGGGAATCTCTATACACGCTTAATACGCGATATATAGTGCTCTTGCTGACTCCTGAGATCTCCAAAACCTTTTCTACCATTTTAACGTTTGAATTATATACCAGTCTTCGGGCCAGGTGGTTTTGTATACATTAATTATAATCTCTTGTTCCCTGATCGACGAAGTAGTAGGTTTTCCCTTTTTTACTGGTGATGTTAAAGGTGCTCCAGAAGATAGGCCTGTAAATAAATGACAAAAATATACTGTCACAGTACTACACAGCATAAATGAATATTGTTTTAGAAAACAAATACCACATGGTCACATAAAAAGAGCGCTTTAAGAAATGGAAAGGCTACGTCGTCGCATTTTTACCTATTTGTACGTACCTGCTCCGTTTATTGTGGGTCGGTGAGGTCTCTTTTCACTTGGCGTTGAAGGACCGGGTCCTTCACCAGATTCTCCTGAACTCATGTCGATTTAGTAACGACCGTCACAGTAAAATTAATATAACAGATTCAACAACAAAAACTTAACGATATAACAAATTTAATAGTAAAAACTCAACTAAAACAATGCAATGAATGCTATGAATTACCCGAGACATACACACGCAAGCGCTATCCGAACGCGAATGAAAACAAAATGGCGGACCGGCCCAAAAGGTGACGCATTCTCATTTCATTTCTTTATTCTTATTTTAAAGGGATGAATTTGCAAAAGCTCAATATGGTGATTATATTGCTTCAAATTTTAATTTTAATTTCAAATTTTTTTAATATGAAACTGTTATTAAATGAATTTCTGCGCTACTTACCATAAATTGAATATAAAATATAACACATTTCTTACGATGTTTATAGAAACCGCAGACAATATTATTTAAGAAACAAAAAAAAACATATATGCTGATCTAGAAGTGTGAATGTTATCAATATTTAAATATTGTTATCACGTAAGTTACGCCTTTTGACACTCGGCTCATATCTGAGTTCATTGTCCGTTTTTCTCAATCGATTTGGCACATACTATAATTGTGCATCTTTTGACAGTTACTAGTCTTGTCATTTTAAAGATCGCTCCGTACTAGTTGCTGTTTAAATTGTATCTATCTGTTGGAATGGTTATCTCAGTCAGTCACTGACTGTATCAGAGAGGCATTCATTGGCTCTTGTCTACGCTAATACTTCTTATTAGTTTGTGTTCTTGTCCTTGATTGACTACTGACCGATTCTCGACTTTCGTTTACTTTTGTAATTGGCGTCTTGTGTAAGAAAGTAGCTGTTTGCTGCTTGAGCTGTTTGAGCTGAGACCGATTAAAAATCAGCATTCGGAAACGTTTCTTTTAGTACAGTGCCAAGATACGTTTCCGAATCGTTCATCGCTCGCGATCTACACAAGTCTAACAGTTACGCACTAAAACTGCAGCCATTTTGGACATGAAGTTGTTTTTGACAGTTTTTGTAAAAATGTAAAAAATTGAATATTGAGCTGTCATAAAATTTTTGTTTTTGAAAGGCTACGCAAATCAAAGATGAGTTAGACTGTGTATGGAGACTCTGCACCATCATTTTTTATCACAGTGTAATTTTAGGTAGCTGAATTTAAATGTGGCCCTGAGAGCTTAAGAGACGATGAACGTTTAGGACGTCCAAGTACTGCAACTATTGACGATTATTTCTCTGCAAATTTGGCCGGTTGTTGAAAAATAAACTTGTATACAATAACAGTTAATTCTTTTCGTTTACAGTTCCTGTTCATAGAGGGCGCGGACCTCCCGGACCTGGGTTCGAAGCCGTTCAAGATCAAGGAAAGTCTGCGTACTGTCTCCCCACTGGGACAACTCACGACAACCACAAAAACTATATTCCAACAAAATGGTAATTACCTAATTGTTGTTCATTAGCATACATATTGATTAACGTTCGCGGAAATAGACGTGAGATTGTTGGTTGGTATCAAAGACTTCTATGGATATATATATATATATATATATGGATGTCTTTGATAATCATTGATGTCCTAGACTGGCAACTGAGAGCGAAAACTGTTTTGACAAAACTGTGGATTACGCAGGCGCGGACGCCGTCTGGCAAATAGCTGGAACGGTAAATATTCCACGTAGTTGTATTTTCATTTACGATAGTAAATGTTTTTAGGCAAATACGAAATAAACTTTAAATCACGTTAACAAAGTGCGCACGTAAATAATGACAGCGTTTTCTTAGTCACATTAAACAAAATCAGTGTAAGGTTATCGAAACGTTCGCGGTTTACAAAACAAAGAACTATAGTCTTCTCACTCGCAGTCGAATAAAGGAGTTACGGATGATTGACCGTAACTTACCGTTACAGCCTATTAAAGTTCACTGCTGAACATAGGCCTCCCCCATAGATTGCCTCATAGAGGGGTATATTTGCCACGCTTGACATGCTGGTTGGCATCTGTAGTTTATTTTTATTTTTAGTCATTAGAAAGACGCTGATGCCCATTTCCTGGTTGGTTTTCCTCCGTCGCCTCTTACGACACCTACAGGATAATAATAAGGGATAGTGGACATTCTTACGCCGTCACTACACGGTAACTACCGGACCGTAATATACAAACTCTTTGGTTGGTATAGTATGCTTTCGCTATTCGGATCCAAAAAAACTTTTGATACTAACTGTAACGCTTTCCACCAGCATAGTGATGTAAATAAATGTTTTATTATTCAAAAAATATTTTAAATATAACTGAGGCTACAAATAAAGCATTCCCTTTTTACAGGTCAAGATAATTCACAATTAACTGAATCAGCGTTAAGGGAATTGGAACTAAGTCCCCCTAGCGCCACAAATAAATCTACCCTCATCATACACTCCGTGCAACGGGTAATTTTATGTTTTGTATAGTTCACTCATACACAAATTGTCGTTTTCCATCTTACAAGCCACTTGCCAGATTAAAATAGATTATTATGGGAATTATTGTTCGTGAAAAAAATTGTTGATGGCCTATTATCCTATATTCATAATTTTAAAATACGTAAATAATTTATAAAAAGTTAATAATTTCTAACTCAGGCAATGATGTAATCTGTGAAGGAAACCTATGTTCTGCTATGGACTTATGAATAATGAATTCTGTAAACGGTAATTTTATTCAATTAACAGTGAAAATAACTTACCTTGAAACAAAAGATCAAAATGCACATTACTTCCCTATTCTATATTTAATATTTATTTATTGTAATTCTGGAAAGATTTTCAAAAGATATTTGAAAATATGTTATTTTTATATTTATTATTGTAATATTATAGAGTTTCCTATAACCAAAACTATTCTAATCTGGCAACTCTTACGGTCATAAGATAGCTCATATAAAATTGAGTGCTTTGGATATAAGTTTTTGTGAATTAATTAATTTAATAAAAATTACTTCAGTATTCCATCATCTGACATAGATTTGTTTTTTCCATTGTGCGTGCCTTTTACCTGATGCATGCGTGTTGTTGAACCGAAAACATCGCAGGAGCCGATGAAATCCATAAAGGTGAGATTTGCTTTGAATTGACTAGAAAAATGCAACATATTATCCTCATGTTTCGTTTTCTTTTTTTTACCTAAAGTAAATACTATACTATATAATACTATGAAACAATTTTTTTTAATAACTTCTCTGTTAATATTATGGAGTTTAGAGAGAAGGAGAATGATCACTACGTGCCTTTGAGTATTAAACCAATGGTTGGTTGAATACTTAAAGCTACGTGCTAAATATGGTGCTAAAACATTAGCCCGCCTGTTCCTGAAAATTTGTAGAATTTATAGCCGCTTTGCCGTCGGTAAGTAGTATCAGCGAAGTTAGCTGTTTATGAGTACAAGTAGATGAAGTTGGTTTAATAGTGTACAAATTTTCTTCGCCGCATTGGTGACAAAATAATCGTGCTACGTAATTTTTTAATTTTTGACAAAAACAAGCATTAAAAAATAGTGAAATATTATAAAATAATAATAATAACTAAATCAACATCAATTAATAATTTATATTTGTAATAATTATAATAATTAAAATTAAAAAAATTATAATTTACTATTAATTTCGTTATTTTCTTTTTTTTCTTTGAATGATATTATATACACGTACATTAAAAAATGATAGATCATTTCAAACTAGCGCACAAGAGCCCACTTTTATTGAGACAACTAAAGACCGATTTACACTTCGACAAGTACAGTAGTGAGTTAACTTGCGAACTTGGCGAGTTAAGTTTGAACCTCGTTTGAACGGCAATAAGCGAGTTAAGTAGCAAGTTAACGATTAAGTTAAACGGGATAGCTGGGCGAGCTATTTTTCGGCGAGTTAAGTGCGAAGTGCTGTCCTCCCGCGCGTTTCCCGCCACCCGCAACTAAACTCGCCGTTCGTGTAAACGAGCGGGTTTAGTTCAGTGCATAAGTTGACAGGACGCAACGTTTGCGCGCCAAAACGTACAATTGTAAATGAATTGTAAATGAAAAAAAAAAGAAACTCGCCACGAAGTTTGTACGATACTGTTTATTGAATATTTATACATTTTATATTGAGTTTTAATAATAAAATGTACGGAAGATATTCAAGTATAAATTCGTCAGGATTATTTAGAACACGAATGTTTATATAATAGTAGAAGTTCAAATTGTAAAATTAAACCTGCTCGAGATGCTGCACTCGTGAAAATTCTTAAAAACTTCTTTAATAACAACCATTAATACTTCTCTGACTGGATTATTTAATTCTTGACGTACCTAGGACCATCTTAAACGAAAACCGGAAAAATTTTGTAGTCTCGAAACGTCATACTCTAACGAACTCTATGAACTAATGTCCCTAACTAAACTCGCCACGAAGACATTGTTTGAACGCTACTGCCCACTTAACCGTTTACTGTCAACTGCCCTGTAACTAAACTCGCTACTGTACTTGTCGAAGTGTAAATCGGTCTTTGGAGATCGCAGTGCCTCACTTATTTTGTCCATATTTCTGGTACACTATGATTTATTTTCTACAGCGATCGTTTTCCTTTTCTCTAACCTCCATGGTTTATATTATTTTATTATCTGTATGTCGACTACAGATGATAAATTAAAATTATTCATAGACTTTATCAATTTTCCATGACCCAAATTATCAATGTAAAATAGTTTTGTTGTAAGAACACATTTTGCTAAGCATGTATGTGTTAGAGACTTGCCATTACTAAATTTAGAGGTTTTAATATCAATTTCTTTGAGAGTTAATTTGATGAAACATTTCCTAAAACGATTTCCTTAACAGTTAAGATTTAAAATATTAAGACATGATATAGAACAATAAGAATAAATTTGTAATGTACTAGCTTTTTCCGCAGCTTTGCTCGCGTGAACTTTGCTTTACCAACGTCATTAATGTTCCATGTCCTGAATTATCTTGTCTTGTATCTGTTATATTTGTCACAAAAATTCTTCTCCGAGCCTTAACACCTAATAATACGTACACTCCGTAAAATTTTTAGTGTAAATATAAAATGTATTAACAACCTAGCATTTAAACTGCAGTGCCACCTATCGGGTGCAGATTTTGCGATTTTCTTTATTTGGCACTAAACCAACATCTATTATGAATATGAGTCATTTTGGTCTCTAAACATAAAATTTGCTAATAACTTGACTGTACCGTCTATTTTCGGATCCTAGCAGAGTTATGTACTATATAAACATTAACTATATACAAATACAAACATATTAACTTTATTTCTCAATGAATGTTTTACCAAAATAACTCCCGAAATCCAGTGTGTTGTGTTATGACAAAAACTAACCCAAAACACCCCTCGCAACAAAGGTCGAATTAACCGACTCGGGCAAATTCATCGAAGTGGAGAAAGAGGGGGCCGATGTCACAAAGCCAGCCGTCGAAAAACCGGAAAAATCAATGACTAGTGAAGTACAAAAATCGGTAACATCGAGTCCGAATCAGTCGCCCGGGAAAACTGTGAGGATAAAGGAGAATGGAGCTAAAGCTAATGGCGACACTGCGGAACCCGCGAAGGTTTTTTGTTCTTTTTGCTTGATTTTTGCGCTTGTCGTTAAATTTACTAACAATTAACTACCGTTTTTCGTAGTTATTACAAGCATTGCTGCGTTAATTTTATAAATGTGAAATATTGTATTTGCAGGAACTTGGAAACACTGTAATAAAATTTTTGCCACATGTGGAAACGACTTAAGTCTACGTACTTTTTTTAATTATATTTAATTATTGACAATTACTTACTAGAGATCCTTCTAGTGAATTTACATTGTTTTTAATTAAATTAATGATGGTTTAGATTTTACAGTTTACAGACAACTAATTTTTGATAATTTATTTTTCTACTGTTTTTATCTTTGTTCTTTTTTTAAACACTAATTGTATAACAATTTCGAAATCAAATCATTTAGTATATTTTTTCAACTTTCAACGTACATATAAACTTAACAATTATTATGCAAAATGTTGTCATATGTACAACAACCCCTTTTTCAACTATTTTTTAACTGCTTAAACTTTTCTCGCACTCTGTAAAAAAAAATATTTTTACTAAAACGGTACATATTCTAATAAGGTGCATTATCCCACAGCAAGGTGACTACGTAAACAACCAGGAGAATCAGCCACCAGAGCCGGCTCCAAGAAAACGTAGACGAGATTTCTTTGGAACAATAAAGAGAAGGTAATTTAAATTTGCTTATCGAAATATTAATATGCATTCTGAGTGAGAATCCCGATATACGAAAATTTAATAATTTAGCTAGTGTGGGTTTTCGTCTAAAGCCTTGAGTTAAGGTTTCGTCTAAATTACTTTGTGTTCGTTTGATTGTTGCGTGTGGTGTTTTATAATACATAGATAAGGTTTTTTGACCGTGTAGTGAGAATATCAACTACCCGATATCATTTCGTGTGTGTCATTAGAGTCGACAGAGGGAAACGAACATGAGATAGGCAGCAACGTCTTCATAGTAAGAAAAAATTTAAAATAAACTGCGTTAGCCAATCCGCCTGCCAAGCATGCCAACTATGGCAAATGGCCCACTATAAGGAGACATATGCAGTGGACTTTTGATAGGCTGTAACGTAAGGATTTTATAAGGAATGCAGAAATGTAGGATTCAGAACTTCATTAATTCATTCATAATTTACATACATTAACACTCACGCCTGTCACCCAGAGGGGTAGGCAGGGACTATGGACTCCCATTTGGCACGATCCTGACACACCTCTCTCGTCTGCTTTACATCCGTATACCTACACATACATGCTCATCGGTTAAGAGTATTCTTAATTTGGCCCATCTTCAATATATCGCCAAGTTGGTCATTAAATTTTCGTCTATGGCTTCTCTTCCCAACTCTGCCGTTCACTTCTGCAACATAAATTTGGTTTGTCACTCTTTTCTCCTACAATTTATATAAATACAAACATCAGTGATGGTGATATCATTGAGCCGTCTACCACAGCCGAAATTAAATCGCTTTTGTAGTTTAAGTTACAACAAAGAATTGAATGTTATATAGTTTTAAATTTTAAATCTTAAAGTTTTAGCATAAGTGTATTTTAGGATTGATTTTACTTCAATAAAAAAGCATGCTGTAAGAAGTATTGTTAAAATAGTATCATCTGATGGAATCTTTGTTTGTTTGTCGTCATCTAACGCAAGGATTAAAGTAAATCTTCGCTGCAGTTTTAAATTTATCAAACTTATAATTTTCGCAGACTCGGTCGATCGCGTACTCGAGGACAATCGTTGGATCTCCAGGACTCTGACGTCGATCAGCGACTGCGCAGTGTCAGTGCCGAAAGAAATACACACGGTGAGATAAGCTCATATGTATAGTTATTACATTTGTTTATGGCTCGTCCTGTTGTACTTTTGCCAGTGTCAATAAGAAATTATACTTAAATATAATTTGTTTCAAAATTTCTCCACAATACATTGATGCGTCACATTGCAGTTTTTGGGAGATTTTGACAGTTACCGGAGCCAGCAGACAGTCCATGAGGACAGTATCTCAAGGCGCCTAAGCAAACACAATAACTTGGATTTCACATCACCATCGCGAGCACTTGTTTCAATTCACTAATAGTTCACATGCGTTGATATTTAATACAAAAAATCGCATCGCTTTTAGGTGTCAAAACATCACCACCTGATGGTAAGTGGATGCTGTGGCCCATAGACTACACCTATCCTCGAAAGAATCAAAATGCAGATGCGTTGTCACCCTTGAGGACTAGGATGGAATGCCTCGTAATCCAGTAAAATGGGTCTCCACACACACGATATAAAACACACCAGCTTTAAGCTAGTATTCTGTGAAAGTGTGATCGAGCATATTCATTCGTTCTACAACCATAATATAGCTGCAGCATAGCTAAAACACGTAAACAAATAACGTACACATAAATAAATAATAATATTTATATAAATACTAGCTTGCCAGGCAGACGTTCTGCCCTTTTCGACGACCATTTGTCATGTCCTATTAAAAATCCTTAAATTCGCAAAAAAATTGTGGCTCACTCATGGGCAAAAAAACTATCCTAACTCTCAAGTTGGACCAAACTGCACACGGTGTGCAAATTTGATTAAAATCGGTTAATTATTTTAGGAGTCCATCGCGGACAAACAACGTAACACGTAATTTATATATATTAAGATTATTATTTATTATAAATAATATTAATATAAAATAACTCCACAATATTGTTTTACAGATAAAGTAATGGCCCTCCCAAACAGAAATGTATACTCAGCAGGAGCATCGCCAGCTCAGTCTGGTGATGAATCTAGGACATCTAGGAGGTATGCATGATTTTCTTGCAAAATATTATATGTAGTTATTTCAACACTATCGTCTCAATGTTTATGTGTATTTAATGTTTATGTATATTTTTATCACACCTCTACTGAGGTGATTTTTAATCAATTAAAAAAGGAGCCTCTATAGTTATAATGCAATTTATTTATTTACTTCTTCTGTACCTATTATTTTTTAAATTTTACAATATTAAAGTATAGTCATATAAAACTATAGAACCGATTAAAGTGAAACGAATTGCATCATATTCTTGATAGCGTATTTTTTTAAACTCAATAAAAAATAATCTCTTAATGATTAAAAAGATGTTAATGAAATTACAACATTTCTTAAAGTAATATATCTAACAATAATAACTTAATTATATTATATTAATTAATAGAACAACTGATCTATGTGACTTACTGTTGTGAAAATAGAATTAATGAATAGTAAACTTTAACATATTTTAAAAGTGGCTATTTGCACAAATATTAATCTCGGCTAAAGCGTTTGAGAATATTTTTAATAATATGTATTAGATAACTTTGTAGTAAAATACTAATAATTAGGCTTTCAATGTCACATCACAGACACAATTCATAGATGTTTCGTCCGTGAAGTTTATAGAGCGGTAACACCGGCACTAATTGTGATTTTTCTTTCTTTTTTTCATCTGTCAACACTCACATCCGCGGGGGTAATCGCACTCTGCAATCTGGTAACATTGGTTTTTCATACTAATTGTTATTTAAAATTTTATATGCGCTGGAATGAAAATGCTATATATTCTTTTTATTTTCATTTTTCATTTTTCCTACCACGTATTGAATGAAACTTAAATATTTTTTCAATCATTTTCTGCTTGAACCCTTTCAATTTCACATTCATCTAAAATATTTTTTTCTCATTTTTCTGTAAATACATATTCTGTTTGAATGTCACTTGATTTTAAACTATTTACTTCATTGTTGGTTTTGTAAACAAACTTCAAAAATCCTTCCATTATTTTGACATAACCTAAAAACTTTTAATTTCGATAAAAAAATAATATCAAAGGTCCTCTCTTAGCGAAGCATCCGGCTTTAGCACAGCTTCGGCGAGGACATTTATCCACGAAGCGTCCACTTTAGTCCTGGAAACGATTGAGGCGGGTATAAAGAAGCACTACCTGGTGCCGCTGACCATCGCGCAGAGATCAAGATGGCGGCGGAAGGGTGTGAAACTTCACATATATAACGAACACACATTCATTGCAAAACATCTTAGTGGGTGAGTGATACTGATATATCTATATATGTTACATATATATACTGTAACTCACTTTGCTCTTTCCAGTACCTATGATTCTTTTGCGAAAATTATAGTGTAAGTATAAAAATTTTAACAATACCACTAATCAGGTGAAGATTTTGTGATTTTCTTTTTGGTACTAAATCAACATAGACAGTATAGAGCGTTTTGATTCATAAAATTTAATTTGTTAATAATTACAGCGCCACCTATCGGGTCCTAAGATAAACCATCGTCTCGACAAAACAAATATCTTGGATGTATATAACCTCAATCGTTCAAGTGGTTTAGAAGTTACAACTTCACTAACATACGCACAAAAATATAATATAAATAGTTTTTAAAGAGATTTTCGTATATAGGACGTTACTAACTTTATATACAATATATAAAGTTAGTTAGGTCCTATATACGTGGTGGGCACAGGTCTCCTTTCTTTCCTGAGAGGGTGTTAGGGCATGAAGTGTTCGCCGCGATGCCCCAGTGCGTGTTGGCGAACTTCACATGTCTGTGAAATATATTTTTCTTGTTTCTCAGATATGCAGGTTTCCTCTCGATGTTTTCAATCACCGCCGAGCACGTGGTAAATCAGCACATAAAATTGCAATTAACAATTTAATTGCTGCCGGGCGGGGATCGAACCCGGGTTGCTCGCGTACTGTGAAATTTACTTGTGACTTGATATTTGTGAAAAGTGACACTAACAAAGAAGAAACATATACATCTATAGGATTTAGCCCGCGATAGAATGAGATAAAATACAGTATACAGTGTTGCCATCAGACAATCAGACCAAGATGATATGATAATGATCTCCTTTTCTGAAGGTTTTACATATACCGCTTGTGAACTGCACATTTGTTTTCTTTCATTTTTTTTTCGAGTAGATTCTTTTAATATTAATTTGAATTTTTAATTTAAAATAACAATTGTTTGACTTTTGCAGTGGCACAGTTTGTGAGGTGTGCGGCAAGACCGTAGCCCGGCGGCTGGGCAAGCAGGGCTACGAGTGCCGCGACTGCAGCTTCAAGTGCCACAAACACTGCCACGTCAAAGTGCCCTCCATGTGTCCAAACTCCACCGTGCACAATATGGAGCTGTAAGTATTTTATACTTTGCTTCCTCAAGCCAATACCTTATTTTCTCTTTATATCTGTCTTCCTCAAATCTCATTTCTCACCTTTCTCCCATCACACCCTACATTACGCCTTTTTGTTATTTTCTCTTTCTCCTAGTTCGAATTTCACATTACGTCTATCTCACCTTTGTCCTATTTTTTCATAATACATACTACTATTTCGCCTTTCTGCTCTCTCAATTTTCTGTTATCTCATCATCTAACAAAACTTTGTCTTCATCGATGTGTTGATCGACATTCTTTTTAATTTAGTCCGCCTACTTTTAATCCAAAGACTTCTATGTTACTACTACATGCCACGCGGCCTTCGTACATCGCATACTAATTTATGGTCAATTCTCCGTAACTCCTTTCGTTTCCCATGCTGCAGCTATAATATGGTTGTGGCACGAATCGGTCGATTCGACCAAGGTATCGTAGAATAGTAGCTTAATGCTGTTGTGTTTCGAATGGTGAGTGTAGAGAACCGGATATCCTTTATACCCGAAACGAGGCATTCTATCTTAGTCCTCAAGGGCGACAACGCATCTGCAGTTTGATTCTTAATCGGGGATAAAATGTGGGTGTCTATGGGCCACAGCAACCACTTACCATCAGGTGGATTGTGTGCTCGTTTGTCACCCTCATTCTAAAAAAAAATACCGTCATTCGTTGGTCTTCGAAAACCTTGAACAATGTATATTTACCTCATTTAGATTTACGTACGAGTATTGAGTCTAGTATTTTAGGATAGAGACACAACATTTTTCATATTCTCTCTCTATCAACAAAGGAAAAGTATAGTGATAGTTTTTCTTTAGCCACCATCAAACACTTTGACACGTGTTTGATGGTTTTTGAAAACCACTTAGGTCTGATGATTTACGTTTAACTTATATGTGACCTAGTGCTTAACTTCTAGCATACTTAGTGGTGGTTTGATATATTTTTCTTTTTTTAACTTTTAGGGCATTTCCTTCTTCTGACGTTCCTTCGATTACAAATTGGAATATTGTAAACTGTTACTTTCGCATTGTATTATAGTGCCTGCACTCGCTCGGCTATACCCTTATTAAAACCGAGTAACCGTTGTAATAGTTTGCATGATTTATTGCTGTCAATGTGGGAGAGTTATATGCCCAGACATGGACTGCTGGGCGATTACGATAGATTGCATGGTTTTTTATACATATTATTCTCAGTTAAGTTCTTACTTATCTTGTTATAAATAAATCAGAAATACTAACTACTACTAATTTTTGCTACAATCCGTTACTGTAATTATAGACTAGATATCGGGTAGTCTTTTATTTCCTTGGTAGCGTGGTAGAGCCGTGCTGCAGCTGTGTTTTTAACACGAATAGGTCGGCCCGTCCGGGGAAAGATCACGCTCTTACAGAATATCACCATGAAATAGCAGCTCGCTGTGTTTCGTATATTGATCGTAGAAAACCGGAGACCCTTTTAACTGAAAACGAGGCATCCTATCCTAGTCTTCAGGGGTGACAGCGCAGCAACATATTGATTCTTAAATGAGGATAGATGTAGATGTCTATGGACCACAGCGTCCACTTAAAATCGGGTGGACTGTGTGCTAGTTTATCGCTTTTAATATATATAAAAAAAAGCGTCGTCGTTTTAGCGTCTCGCGAAAACTCGAAAATAGCTGGACCGATTTTGATGAATTTTTTTTTTTGTGTGTGGGTCCCTGGATAATCAGTCCCATTTCCGTCGAAAGAAGCCGGGGCGGATTTCAAATTGGAACGAAAATTTGACGTCCGGTTGTAATGGCATGTGGTCAATGTCAATAACGGACAATGTCGTCCATCCATCCATTCAATACAGCTTGTAAAAGTCCACTACTGAACATGGTCCTACTCCATTCAACTAGACAACTATGTCTAATATGGCAAAATGTCCCCGAGAGGCATGGGTTTTGGGGACATTTCGCCATAGTTACCACCACTGGTAAGCGGGTTGGCAACGGCAGTTTTTTAAAGTTGTTGTAAGGAAGATGCTTCTACCCATTCCATGTTTGTTCCTCTTTATCGCCTCTTATGACACCCACCACAGGACGATTTGTGGTAGTGGGGTATTCTTACACTGACACTAACTACTCGGTTTAGTGTCTTTAAACTTGGGCGATTTTACATTTTTATAATTTTGATTTGATTACTACTAAAAGGTAAAAAAATTGAAAATACCAATTATCTCTAACTCTAAGAGTCCACAAAGTGCTTATGACCAGGAGTAGACCATTAAAAACAATGTGGTAGAGCCATGCTGCAACCAATTGTATTGTAGCAAGAAGGTGTCGGCTCGACCACGGTCTCACAGAATACTAACCTAAAATAGCAGCTTAATTCTGCTGTGCTTCCTATGGTGAGTGCGGAGAACCGGAAACTCTTTTTACTGGAAACGACGCATTCCATCATAGTCCTCACGGCTGATAACGCATCTGCATTTTTATTCGAAAACGAGGATGTAGATGTCTATGGGTCACAGCAACCACTTACCATCAGGTGGGCTGTGTGCTCGTTTGTCACCCCATCCTATAAAAAAATGTTGATCTGATCTAATTTTCTTGTGTTCATTAATGGTTCATCCATCACAAGTCCATAGATGTACATAGGTCTTCCCAAGGAATGTCACAAGTACCGTTCGAGAGACACCTGAATATACTTCCTGCATGACTTACCAGGTCGTCACTCCATTTAGTGACTAGATTTTTTGTCAAAGACACAAGTAATGGGAAGGAATAAATTGCATTGAATATGAGAAATTTGTAGGTTGGATCATTACTTAAGTATTTCAAAGTACGCCACGTTATTCTATGCTTAACTATACAAGCCAGAAATAGGGTTGTCAACAACTCTTCTCTATTTTACAATATTCTATTTTTTATGTTCTATTACAGGTTGCGTTTCGATTTAGAGTAGAAACGATACAATGACTAATTAATACCCCGCCTATAAAAAAATTGAGTTTTTAAATGTGTTGTTTTTAAATTCATTCCCCCTAAAAAAATCATTGTTTTTAAATTTTCGATATAGGGATGATTTGATATAGATATCCCGTAACAGTAGAATTAAAATCTCCTCCATTTTTCTAAAGCTACTAAAAATATTAACAAAATCTAGGAGTATAATTCACTTGAAATATTTACATCAAATTCCTTATTGTTTTTCTATTTGCTTGTTTGTTAGTCCTAACGTTAAAGTTACTGTTTTTGGTCTATAGAAGTTGGTAGTCCTAGATAAGATTGACGTTTTATACTCATTAATGCTTCAATTGCTTAGATCTATCTATTTTGTACACACTTTATCATTATAATCTAGGTTGATTTTATTATATATAATATTGTATGTCCAGATTTGAAATGCTTGATGTATGTATTTTGATTTACTAAAAGAAAAAAAAAGAAAATTACATGTTTTCTTCATTTTATTACTTTATCTATGCTAAGGTGTAGGTATACATAATACATATAAACAATCAACCAAGATACCTACAGAAGGATATTTATCGCACGATAACACAAACTTTAATTATGAGTAATTGTGTTTTAAAGTTAAACATATTTAATTCGAATGCGGAAGATAAACTAGTATAAATATTCACAACGAAAACATCTGTCACTTACTTGCAACGACTTTGTACGACATTGCTTATCGGAGCTTTGGCGGGAGCATTACCGTCGGCGAACTGTGTTGCTCTTGTTTTATTGTATAAATAATAGGTATAAGTGTATTTCGATACGTAAAAGTGGTGCAATTTTGTGTATTTAAAGTCTGCACATGCGAACTCTTAGTTGGAAACAATAAAACAAGTGCTACGATGGTGATGCTAACCTCAAGATAATGTGCCTGCTTAGGCGCCTTGAGACACTGTCGTCATCGACTGTCTGTTTGCTCAAGCTGCCGTCAAAATCTCCCAAAAACTTCGTAATGTGACGCATCAACATATTGTGAAAAATTATAGCATGATTGATTTTGTGAATAATGAAGACATGGATTAAAGGACAAGCATCCAAGCCAAAAATCTTAAATAACAAACTACAACAATATTGCTAATCTTAGGGCAAGCGTTGTTAAAAAACTTGCAAAACCTAGATAATATAATTAAAATTATGTATATGTATATAATATGTATGTGTGCGTATATGTATGAATTTATATATGTATATGTTTGTATTTTCACTTAAATTTCACCACACCACGGGATGACTCGCAGAGAATAGCTTATTAAGGTGAACAAAATAAAGGTTTTGAATAAACAAATTAAAAAGTTACCTGTATATTAAATATATCGCAAAATTAAATGTTGAGAATTTTTGACATCTAGTTTATACATTATAAACACAAAGTATAAACTATACTTTTCTATCAGACTTGATGTATTTTTTAAAATTATGTAGATAAGCTTCTTTTGCGATATTATCTCGGCGTGTGTAGTCTGAGCTTGAGAATGTATTTCATTTATTTATCCTAAATTCAATCAGCAAATATATATAAGTATTTAATAATTAATATTAAATTCAGTTTCTTAGAATATTTTTATGTTGCTGATTGTACTTTGTAGTTTACATAAAAGTACCTGCTGTAGAGAGTTGGATTTAGAATCGTTTGGCAGGAATTTGGGGGAGTAAGGTGTTTTATTTGGTAGAGGTTTGGTCCCCGATTATAATAATACCACTCACATTAAAAGGTAATGCACCGTTATCGAAAAAATAAATAGAATCTATTATAACCTAAAATGCGTAAAACATGGAAAAACATGCAATATTACTGTGAAAGCTGGATAGCATTCAGAATTTTGTGTACAAGTTGTGACAAGGACGTAAGATTATTGTCACATTATTCAAGTGTCTATACTCTGTTAAGTGTCAAAATGCATGACATAGTACTAAGTTTTATGCATTTCGCCATTGGTTGCTCTTCTTGCATGAATGTGAAAGCACCTTACTCCCCCAAATTCCTGCCAAACGATTCTAAATTTCAACCGCTATAGAAGGCTTGCGAGATTTTTCGAATAAAATATAAAATTATAAATTTCAGTAACATTTTGGCTATTGCTTACCTGTATTTTTATTTTTAACGCTGCCAAGGTCCCATTCCCATAGCTTTGGAAATGGAAGGTACTTTTTTAAATATTTTGAATCTTTATGTCAGTGACAGTACACGGGCCTTTAGATGAAGGCAATATGCATACGTGTTGCCATTACATTAATTCAATTTAATTATAGGTAACTTTGTGTATTGTGCATAATAAACATGTTCGTCTTACACTTGCTTAAATAAATTATGCTGCACAATATTTCAGTACAATATAACCAACATCATCATCGCTTAGTGCTAAAATGCTGCCTTTAAAAATGTAAAAAACATAAATCAAGTTGTGTTATTTTAAAAATTGGTAATATACATCACTTACATAACAATCGCTTACATCAACCCTGTTTCAAAGTCGAAGATATATTATTATAATATAACACCTACTTTGAAGACATATATTATTGTTTTATGTTTTATTTTTTCATAATCTGTAATAGAAAACACATTTTATAATAACCCATTATATTTTAAGTACATTTATGTATGTATGTAAATAAAATTTAATATATCAATTATATATTAAATATTTCAATAATTCTTTTAGATCAATGCTCCCAGTGCTAAGCGAATAGTGAAGATATGCGAGAAGACTGCAAGAAATTACAAAAATAAAATAAAATAAAAATACAAGCTTCGTACAGGTCCTTTATAAAAATTAAAGTTTGTAAACGCAATGTTGCTCTCAATTCGCTTGAGTTTGTTTAAGTATTGTCAAAGTTTGCATGACATTCGATGTTGTTGCACTTTTTAATTCTTATATAATAAATATGAGATTTCAAAACATTAACATTAATTTTTTTTATTTTAATAATAATTTGATTAATATTTTTGTTACTATTTTATTTTTTTAGGGTGCATGTCGTGAGCTTTTATTAGGTTTATGTTTACTTCATTTATTAACACTCGTGCTGTAGAACCACGTTTAGCGTTCTGTTTGTATATAATAATTTTTATGATAACTTTAGTTAATTTTTAGGTTTTTGATTGCGATGTTTTGACATTTTTTTACACTTTCATGCTGTTTTTATTATAGGTATATTAAAATTAATATTACTAATACATATATCGTTTCTGTTTTCAGGGCTTACATCTCATCGCCATACACGGATAAGAATATAAGAATGTTGTAACTTTCTCAACAAGCGCTTTCGTGCACAAATCAACAAATATACAAGAAGCTGTCTACTTAAATTATTTAAATTATATTAATATACACAAAGCTATATAAGTACAACACGTATTATGTACGCTATGAAATATACAATGTATAGGCTTTTTTACAAATCTGTTTATAATTGTAACGTTATTATACTTAGATGTAAGAGTTAACAAAAAGTAGAGGTTCTAAAGTTCGTTCCCTTAAAATTATAAACAAAATTTGTCCGCTTACCGTTGACTCGCAGATGTTAGATTAGCTTAGATATCGCTAGATACCACCAACTTAATTAAAATCGCAAAGTTACCGAGTTAAGTTTTTTGTAACCAAAGTATAAAACAACAAGAACTTTTTTCTCAATTAGCCGCTACCTCACTTTTCACGGTTAAGATGAAAAATTATAATTAATTTGAATTCAAAGAATAGTTACCAACATTATTAATTATTAAACGGTTTATGTTGTTGAGAATCGCACAAAATTGTTTATCAACTCGTCCTTCGAGTTTGAATACGGTCACTTTTTACGTCAGTTCGAGGACCATCTACAAAAATCACACAAAAATATTAATAATCCAATCGGCATAGATTGTATTCATTTCTTAAAGGTGTATCAACTTAAAAAAACATATATAAGCAGAAAAAATAAAAACCAGAATTTGTACTTCTTTTGACGTAAAAAGTAAGTCTTTTGTAGTTTTGTAACTCGAATATAAACTAGTTTATAAGTGCTTCGCACATGTGATCTATGTTGTTAAGATGTGCAATAAGTTGAAACTATACTCTGATAATATCACTCGCGCTTGACGTTTTGGCGTTATTGTACTATTCTAGAGATAATTACACGGCCATACTTACCAGTGACCACCTAGTTTTGAACTTTTATTTTGGAATGTATTGTTTTTTCAACGTGTGTTTGAGAAACTATATCTGTTGTTACTTTTGTAAATATTTTGTGCTAAAATCTGCAATTTGGTAGATTATAAACATGAAGCTGGCATCACTGATCAAATCCAAATTTTAAACGAACTTTTAAAACAAAATTATAAATCTCCCAAGTTATTTATTAGTACAGAATATTTATAGGACATTGCTAAAATATTATATTATGTTGTACCTACATTGTTTTTTAACATGACAAATCATATTTATGCTCTTTGTATACTTAAGGTTGTTAACGCATAATACGACTATGTGGTTAAGTCCGAAAATAGTTTATTATTATTTATAAATGTTGGCATTGTGTTGTGTAATTTTATTTTCCTTTTTATAAAATAAAATGTCTTTTTAATCTGTACTTTCATTTTGTATCTATAATGATCACGATATTAAACGGGTTTTACCAGATATACGTCCGCCGGTGGAATGCTTCTCTGTATGATCGTTTATACTGCTTTAAAGTGGATTTTGATTCTTGATGCATAACGTAAGTGGTATCATAATATGATTAGTAGGTATGTTGAAATAAGTACTCTGATGGTTGCAGGACAGGCATAAAAAAAAATATATATAAAAAAAACAAAAAAAGTTGAGAAAAAAAACCCCACACCTATAAGACCTTAAGTGATTTTGTCAGCTTAGACGCGTTGAGATTGAAAATTGTATTCATATTCAACAATAAAATATCTGAGAAGACAAGTATACTTGTAGAAACAGTAAAATAAGTGCTCACACGATGAGAAAAGTTCTCATAATGATTTCTTAAATTTACGCGAACACTACACATTGAATAAAACTAAATTTACGGATTTTATCGCGTTTATTTCACTACTTTTACTTATTTTTTAATTCCCGACGTTTCGGGTGCTTTACAGCAACCATGGTCACGGGGGGGGACTGAGATGTTTGACGTCCCAATGTCATAGTTAGCCCGGCTACCTTCAGTTTTTGAATATTAATTTTTGGTCCGATTTACGCAAAACGAGCTTATAGTATCATGAAGTCTTGCAGTGGTATGCTTAGGTTTGGGTTTAATTTTGTTAATTATAGGATCCCAAGCAGGTGGCAGCACCCATCCATCTTCTCTATTGAAATTTGGATGTTTTTTAATTTCAATAGCCTCGCGTATCATCCTTGGTAGGAATCGGTGTTCTTTTGCGAGAATTTGTGGTTTATCAAAACGAATGTAATGGTGGGGACGATCTGGAACATGTTCGCAGACTGCAGACTTCCCGGAGCGTCGGTGCTTCACGTCAGCTATATGTTCTTTCACGCGGGTTTTTATGGATCTTTTTGTTTGACCTATGTAAGAGAGACCACATTCACAATCTAACTTGTACACTCCTGCATCTTGTAGAGGGATATTACACTTGACGGATGGTAAAAATTGACTAATCTTCTTCGGCGGCTTGTAGTATGTTTTAATAGAAGCTCGCTTCAAGATGTAGCCAACCTTGTCTGTGACTCCTCTGACATATGGTAGTACAGCAGGCACACGCTCGACTCTCTCACTCACTGTCACTGTGACGTAGGCGCGGGACCCGAAGCTTGTTGTCTTGCAATACTTGCTTGACGTGCTGAAGTTCGGCGGCCAGATGTTTTCTGTCATAGATCCCTCGTGCTCTCTGAAACAAAGATTTACCCACGGTAGCTAACTGTGAAGGATGATGGTGAGATTCATCCATCCATCCATAAAAACATCCATAAAAACCCGCGTGAAAGAACATATAGCTGACGTGAAGCACCGACGCTCCGGGAAGTCTGCAGTCTGCGAACATGTTCAAGATCGTCCCCACCATTACATTCGTTTTGATAAACCACAAATTCTCGCAAAAGAACACCGATTCCTACCAAGGATGATACGCGAGGCTATTGAAATTAAAAAACATCCAAATTTCAATAGAGAAGATGGATGGGTGCTGCCACCTGCTTGGGATCCTATAATTAACAAAATTAAACCCAAACCTAAGCATACCACTGCAAGACTTCATGATACTATAAGCTCGTTTTGCGTAAATCGGACCAAAAATTAATATTCAAAAACTGAAGGTAGCCGGACTAACTATGACATTGGGACGTCAAACATCTCAGTCCCCCCCGTGACCATGGTTGCTGTAAAGCACCCGAAACGTCGGGAATTAAAAAATAAGTAAAAATAGTGAAATAAACGCGATAAAATCCGTAAATTTAGTTTTATTCAAAGAAAAGTTCTCATTTTAGCGTCTTGAATACTTCGATCAGTGGCGGCTTCGCAAGGTCACCAGTGTCGAGAGTTCCACCAGTTCGAGTGCTTTGTAGTAGCCATTGGTACGGGGGTTGTATGACGTTCTGTTGACACAGTACAGCTACTCAGGTCACAATCCAGGGCTGCATGAGAAATTACCATAAGATACATTAGATTACTAAACACGTGGAATTTAAATCTACCCAAATTTTAAAATTCCGGTCTGGAGCACCCGAATGGCTAAGGCCAGCTGTGACGTCAATGAATGTTACCATGATAAGCTATTGTTGAAATTCCCGAGAAACTTTGAAGTAAGAGGCAAAATTTATATTGTTAATAATATTGGTAACAAATATAAGGATAGAAAAAATTCCAATTAAATAACACTCACAAAAGTAAATCGTAAAAAGCCATAAAGAAGTGGAGTTAAGTTTTTTGCATAAATATATTGACTGTAGAAATTAAGAGCTAGTAATCATAACCCACAAAGGTCCTTCGAGCCGGACCATAACTTATGATCGATATTGCTTGAAAGTTCAATAAATATAACATGCGCTAAGTCGCCGTGCGTACTAGTGTTCTACAGGATACGTTTTGGAGTGTGTTGTAAAACTGATTTCATCCTTCACTTTTCCATTCTTCCACCATCAAACGTCCAGACTCTCGGCCTGTTTTTACCCCTTCGTTGCCGATAGACCATGCATTCAAACCAACCGGCTTGCTTAGTCGTTTGTCTATGACGGCAAGGGAGTGGAATACGCTGTTACAATGTAAAGGTATTTAAGGCAAGAGTGAATAGGCTTGTGTTAAACTAACCAGTGTGCTTTACCATGTGTTTTGTGTTTACTGTCGTCGACTGCATCATCACATACTCGTACCATTCGGTGAGATAGTACTCAAATAGTATGGTTTGAAAAATAACTAATACTGAAATTTTATTAAAAAGATAATGGTGAATATGATAAATTTACTTTCATCGCGTTTTTTATAGATTAAGTTTAAAAAACGAGCACAGTCCTCCAGATGATAATTGGATGCTGTGGCCCAAAGATATCCACATTTGTCCTCGATGAATCTGAAATGCAGATGCAATGTCAGTGCTTAGGAATAAAATGGAAAGCCTTGTTAACCTCTCAAACCCCAAACGGTCGGATCCGACCACGACGTTAACAGTAATAGTCAAACGTAATTTATACTTTTTATATCATTAACTTTAGTTTTTTTTTTACCCTTTATTAATCTTAATAAGTAGGTACCTGACCAACGATTTTTCTTGTGTTCTCGCTTTAAATTTTTATTCTGCATATCCATAATTTCTAGTTTTCATTTTTACCTTCGTATATGCCTAATAATGAATCAGGATCATGGTGGACCTTAATGATACCTAGAAATACCCCAAGGTTTTTGATGAGAGATTGAGTGAGAGATTCAGACCTTAATAAAAATCTATAATACAAAAACAAAGACATGAAATTAGGGGTTCTAGGTATTTTATTGTCCACTACAGCCTATCCACCCAGCTACAGCTTAAACATAGAAGTCAAGCTTGCCAGGCGGGTTGGCAACCACAGTTATTTTATTATTTTGAGTTGTTATCAGGAAGATGTTGCTGCCCATCTACCGTTTCCATTGCACTCTGTCGCCTCTTACGACATGACGGAACGATATTGAATAGTGGATATTCGACCTACTACACCCCCAACTACACTGTTTTCAAGGTATTTACGGGGTTCCTATTAGAAATGCAAGTGTGCAGGTGAAATAATTATAAGAAATTGTTATACACACTGCCCTCACACACTCTGCCAAGATTG